CTTGGGGACCGGGTCTGTGGACAGATCCCGTCCTCGCTGGGGAAACAGGCGCTATGCCCGCCTGCCAGGCTCCGAGTGAGGGGCCGACCCGTAAAGCGCAGCTGGAAGGACGGGCGGTGGTTCAGGTGGAGGGGAGCGGGAGGCCACTGCCGGGTGCCCTCCCCGTGCAGCCGTGACCAGGCTCATCCGTGCAGCCCGGACGGGTAAGGTGGCTGTGCTTGCCGAGGGCTCCGTGGTGTGCAACGCCAGGGCCCCCCGCAGAGCCATTCGGTGGCGTTGGCTCTACCTGCTGCCTCTGTTCGCATCGCCGCCCGGAAGGGAGCTGCTCTCAGCCGCGGTCCCCGAGAAGAGCTTGGAGGCGCTGAGAGCAGGGAGCGTGCCCTGTTCCCGGTTGCATGACCGGGCGAAATCCGCTGTGCAAGCGCCTCTGCCACCGTGACCCGGGAGACGAGGGGGGAGACGGGGAGTGAGCTGCGGCCCTGATGGACACGGAGGGCATCCATTCAGTTGGCAAGCCAGCAGGCCGGCGTCATCGCTGAAATCACTTGTGTGAGCCGCACGACACAGTGATTCACCTGCTGCTGGCACTCAGCCTCCCCGGCCCAGGTAGGCATTTGACTCAGGCTTGTCGCCGAGCTTGACAGAGACCTGTGTTCCCGAACCTTCAGTTTGCTCCTGAAAGTAGGAGCCATCGGTGCAAACAGGGGATCTGTTCACACAATGATTTCGATCGAAAACTAGGCTAGGCATAACCAGGCCGCATGTTCAGAATTCATTACACTATGGTTTATATGGAAAATATTTTTTAAATGAAATATTCTGGATTGTTTTTTACACAAACTTACCTTTATGCTACTTTGGCTAAGGGGAAAGCAGTTGACTTAGCTTGAAATCTACATCCTTTCCCTTAAAAATTGCAAGTCATTAGAGAAAACATTTTTTTTAACAAAAAAATGATAGCCTCCTTCAGTAAAGTGAACAAGACGGAACTTATTAGCTAAAGGTGGAGAAAGGATAAGCAAGAAAACACTTTAAAACGCCATGATGAGAATTAAGCAATGTTTTGACATATAAAGTAATTGGGAGAGGCCATTTTAGATACCGCCCTTATAGCTAGAGAGGTGTAGCAGATGGGATGATCCTAAATTGGAAGACGAGATACAGGCTTGTGCTGTAAGTGCCTGAGAGCTAGGGAGCATTTCTAGTTCTTGGAGAACTTGAAATGTCTGAATTGGTGGACATGAGATCCCACATAGGACTTCAGAGAGAGGCCATCAACTTTGAAAATCAGTCTTCAAATTCTAGAGTAGATATTTCACTAGTATTTTGCCCTGGTAACAGAAATACTTTAGCTTGCTAAAAATGGGAATACTTTTTCCCCCTCTGCATTCCTTCTAATTATGGCTATTCTCTATATATGTTAAATAAAAGTTTAAATTGGTACACTGATTCTATTTCGTAGAAGGAATTATATCCATTGAAGACTTGAGATTACTACCTAGGTACAGATTGATGTCTGCTGGTTTCAAGATCTGCATTGTGATTGCAACTGCTGTGGATTATTTTACTTTCCTGATTAATTTTATTCCTCTAATTTTATTTTTTTATTGATTTCCGAGAGGAAGGGAGAGGTAGAGAGAGATAGAAACATCAATGATAAGAGAATCATCAATTGGCTGCCTCCTGCATGCCCCCCACTGGGGATGGAGCCCACAACCCGGGCATGTGCCCCTGACCAGAGTCGAATCTGGGACCCTTCAGTCCGCAGGCTGACGCTCCATCCACTGAGCCAAACCAGCCAGGGCTATTCCTCTAATCTTTTTTTTTTAAATATATTTTTTATTGATTTCAAAGAGGAAGGAAGAGGGAGAGAGATAGAAACATCCATGATGAGAGAGAATCATGGATTGGCTGCCTCCTGCATGCCCCCCACTGGGGATGGAGCCCACAACCCGGGCATGTGCCCCTGACCAGAGTCGAATCTGGGACCCTTCAGTCCGCAGGCTGACGCTCCATCCACTGAGCCAAACCGGCCAGAGCTATTCCTCTAATCTTATTCAACACACCTGTTGTCCCCCTTCAGTGAGACAGCTATACCATCTTTCCACAAGTAGAATTACTAGATTGTTATCTAGGACAAATGAATTATAATTTTCTCTTATATCTAAAAATGACATTAGAGTAACTTCTGGTCCTCTGTGGAAGCTTCCGATAGGATACAAAGTGACTTTGTAAATTGGGATCTTGTTTAACAGACAAAGAAGGAAGAACATAGTTACAAGATCAGTGCACAGGAGGGGCCAACAAGGACTGGAAATTACACTTGACTCTAAGGCAGCGGTTCTCAATCTGTGGGTCTCGACCCCTTTGGGGGTCGAAGGACCCTTTCACAGGGGTCGCCTAAGACCATCGGAAAACACATATATAATTACATATTGTTTTTGTGATTAATCACTATGCTTTAATTATGTTCAATTTGTAACAATGAAAATACATCCTGCATATCAGATATTTACATTACGATTCATAACAACAGTAGCAATCCAGTTATGAAGTAGCAACGAAAATAATTTTATGGTTGGGGGTTACCACAACATGAGGAACTGTATTAAAGGGTCGCGGCATTAGGAAGGTTGAGAACCACTGCTCTAAGGTGTACCTGTATTTAGTATTTAGTAGTGTATTGGTGTTCTTGAACATCAAATATGAAAAAAGATTCTATTGAAATAGAAGGCCGTGTGCTTTTTTCCTTAGCTCCATCACAGCATGAGGTAAATCTTAATATTCTTTTAGGTGTTTTTTTTTAAATGTTCTTTAGCTTAGAGGAAGCAAAAGATTAAGAAGGGTTCTTTTCCGATTTAATTTGTTCTATGTTTTCTTTTCTACTTTTCCCATGTAGATTAGAGTCATATGTTATCCTTAAGTAATGGCAGTCTTACCTGCGAGGTAAAAAGGCTTAGTTGAATTCTATATTAAACAAGGCTTTCTTAGCATTCTACTTTGATATATCTAAGGGAATAACTCATAGGGAATGTCTGTAATTGGTTCACTATGAAAACTGAGCAAAATGAATTATTTAAACAGTTTAAGTTGCATTAAGAAGATATGTCTGGACTGGAGAAGAGAATGTGGTATCCTAATTGTGAGCGAGGCTCTGTAGTCAGGGTGCCTGGGTTTGAATCCCAGCTCTGACCTCTCTGCCATTTTTCTTCTTTATTAGTCAAGGCTACTAACAATCCTTTCTTACTGAGCTATGAGGTTTCATTCAATTGTCTAAACACACTAAATGTTAACTCCTCCTTTTTTAAAAAAAATATTTTGTTATTAGGAAGGATTCTAAGGCTCATTCTTTAATTATCAGAGTAAGTCCTACGATCTCTTTACTTAAAGTCTTTAAGAATCCATTACAGTTCCTTTGTTTTCTTCTTACCTGCTCACAATGTTGCTGCCTCTCTCTCAGGCCTTGCCAAGGTGAAACAGTTTTTATGTGTCCATCCACCTTCAGATGGCTTGCATACTTTGGAATTCAATTCACCTGGTTGGTTTGCCAACTCAGTTACAACTCTTTCACATTTTAAAGTGGGGGTGACATTCTCTTGTATTCTATCTGTATTCTAAGCTGAATTCTCCCCATACCTGGGATCTTTAAACATGAGAATAATGTTTACCTTTGGAAATGAAAACTTTGATTGGGGGTAGAGAATTGTTGACTTGCATTACTTGCACTTCTGGTTCTAGTTCCTTTTCATTATTAGGATCTTGAGGTGGCTCCTACTTAGTTCACATAGCTGAGTAAAGATACATATTTAAGGTTACGCAGTCCGATTCTGATGAATCCTTTGGTTCTAGTTGGAAAATTTTCATTCAGTTTTAGGATCTTCGATTTTGATAAAAGTTTTGTGTTCAATTGCTACCAATCCTCACTTCCTCAATCTCTCCTTCCCTCCTTCCTTCCTTCCTCCCTCCCTTCCTTCCTCTCTTCCTTCCTTCCTCCCTCCTCAGTTTAACACTCTCTGACTTTGAGGATGTGCATTTGTATGTTAGAAGAAGTGGAAAGTGGTGAGTTATACACTTACATAATTACATCCCCAACCTCTTTCCCTTCCTCCCTCCTTTCTTCCCTCCTTTCCTTCCTTCCTTTCTTTCCTTATCTCTCTTTTAAAAAAATATTTGGAATGCTTCAAATTTTAAAATTGTCTTAACCTCTAAATGTTTCACTTAAAGTGTATTTAGCCTGGAAAATCATCACCAACCATAAAGTACTTAGGGAACAGTACTCCAAGTCAGTAACATTAACATGCTAATTATGAAAGGCATTTGAAAGAAATATTGTACAGTATCTTGGTTGGTAAAAGACCGATTTGGATTTTAAATGTTGAAGACTTTCAGAACTGGTATTTTGAAAGGTAGACTATGCATACATATCAGGAACTTAAAT